GTGTTCAACATTATTTGAGAATTACAATAAATCCTTTCCAGCCTAGAAATGGGCAAATTAATCTAAAAATTAGACTTCATGCCATAGCAGTTTTAGACCCCCCCCTTATTTTATAATGCTCTTGTTATCATTATCAGCTAAATTGATAATTTTAAATGAAAACTTCAAATTATCAACAAAACTCATTTACTTGTTTAGATATGTGCACTTCATTTTCTAAAATTTCAAACATATATATATATTTCGTACACTTCACAAATATATGTTTCTTTCATAAGTTGGAGCAAAACACACCCTGTAGAAGTAGTATGTATGTAGTATGTCTGTAATATGGACTAGTTATTTATAAGTGAAAACCTCGAGGTTAATTTACCAGAGCATATTATGTATATTTCAATGACTATAAATAATCATTACTGAAACATCTATGTTATTAAACTCATAAAACTTACTCTTTAGTTATTAAACCAGTCCACATAATTTCATAACTATATTTAATATTAAATAACATTTTAAAAGCTCATATTTGTACAACTTCAACTTCACAATCATTATATTTATGTATTATCTCATGCACCTGATAAACATTATACTCATGTGACATCTCTTGCACATATTAAGCACTCAACTTACTAGTTTTATAACATCTTTATGCCACAGTTCACCAGGACAACATTCCTCTACATCAAATGTTGTTCCAAACAAAGACTGGAAAAGGTTGTTCAAGCCTTCCATACAGATACCCAGAGAGAAATATGGACAGAAGTCTGAATTCTTGATGTTAAACCTAAAAATGAAGATGTTTATTCACACTGTGCTTTTTAATACTGAAACTGTAAGAAAGTATTAAACACCTTTTTTTCTTGGAAAATTAACTAGCAAATATCCCCAGTGATTGAGGCTGTGCCTATGATAACAAAGGTCCTTCTTTGTATTGTAAATACACACAGCTTTTATCAGGATTATCAACAAAACATGCAATAAAACAATAATTAAATGCTTGTTGTTTTGGAATTGATATTAAGTACAGTGCACAACTAGAACCCAAGATGTAGCTTCACAAGGCAAAGATCTTTATGTGATCTGTACCATTGTCCTTCTATGTAAAACTTGCAGTCTATAACTTGACCAACTTTAATTTTAAAATTTAATAACCAAGGAAATACAACCATGCAGTTTTCAACATCTTGTAGCCTAACTCAAACAGTTTTTATTGAAACATCAGTACACTTTTGCATGTGCATCATAAGTGGCTCTCAGCACATTTAACCAATATTCAATTTCAGTCCACATTCACTGCACCATGCCCACAATTACAGTGATGATAGCATCCGTTATCCTGGTCTTTAGCTTTGTGATGTTTACTACAGGTGTGCGATATATGATATCCTTACAAAACCCCTATACTTCTTTCCTGTGCTGTCATCTGTAATTACGCTGCACCACAGTCATCGACTTGGTCCCTGCAATCCAAATGATGCATTGAGCTTTTTTTGCACGGTTGCCATTTTACAGAGTAACACTACTCACTGGGGTGGAAAAATATGACAATAAAAACTGTTTGATTTGGGCTACAAGATATTAAAAACTGCATGGTTGTATTTCCTTCTTAATTAAATTTTAAAAGAGGAAATACAATTTTGGACCATCCTGTACATAAATACACATACATATAACCTTGATATTTGGAATTGTCTGAAAGATAGTAACAAAATTTTATAATTTCACGATATTTATATAAATAAGTTTAAATATTAGCAGCATAGATTTAAACATAAAGAAAAGCAATTAAATAAGCTAACCTTTCTTTCCTATAACTGCTTGGGTAACAACGAGAATTTCAACAAAAATCTAAAAACTCTAAAAAAATTATAAAATAACCAAGTACATCTTAGAAGTGTGTAACTCAGATAAAATGGAAAGATAAACTTTTCAAAATGTGCACATTTAAAAATCATTCCTTTAAGGTGTAGATGTTTGTTTGTTTGCTGATGAGCACAAAGCTATATGATGGGCTATCTGTGCTCTACCTGTTGTAGGTACTTAAACCCAACTTCTAGAGTTATAAGCCCTTAGACTTAATAATAAGCCATGGGGGCATAAGGTTTAGAGCAGTTGTTCTTAACATTTTTTGCTCCATGCCCCACCTCAACACCTCAAAACATTTGATACCTCTCTTAATATAAAAACAAGTTTGGTGTTGAAAAGTTATAATAATATAATGTAAAATTTAGAAATTCAATTTTGAGTCATGAAACATTTTTCGCTCTTCACACCCAAATGAAATTGTTTTCTTATTGTAGCATTTCCAAATTTCCCCTCCTGTGGGGCGTGAGCCCCACGTTCAGAAACACTGGTTTAGAGAAACTGTAATGGCAACTATCAGAGAAAAAAAAAGTACACAAGTTTGGTAATCCAAAGAATAAACAATTTAACTTTTCAATTAAATGAGTAGTGAATCTCAAGATATGTACATGTCTAAATTAGGCAAACTTTCTATAAAGATTGAAATTCCCTTAAAACTGTAGGATTGATAAAAAAAACACTGTACACAGCATACAAGTTTTGAATGGGCTGGAAATATTTTCTATTAATCCTATAGACATGGGTAGTGGTCACAGAGCATGTCATCACGTTTCTACACTTATATTCTAAGTATTATTTAACTATTATATCATAAACATATATCAATAAGTTTGGTATCAAATTGTAGATTATAATTCAAATGTTAGTATTATACATGAGTTGATTTCTAAATTTGAAAGTAAATATTAGAAAAAGAGGATTAATATCGATTTTTGTGTGTCACATGGTAGGTTGCCTTTTAGATTTGCTCAGATTACATTTTATGACGCCCACAATACAATGTTTATAGTTTCTTATGAATTAGAAACTCAAATTTCTGATACTGGCAAGCTAGAATATAAAATAAGAACCTTCTACCTTTGATATTTTCTGAGATATCATAATATTTAGTGAATCCACCATACTGGCTCTGCCCACCACTTCACCATTTAAGAACACTTGTTTATCTACTCATACTTTTGTATACCAATAACTTTATAACCAATCAAAAGCTCTACATTTCTTCTACATAATTCTATCACTCTTCCTAAGTTACTTACAAGAAAAAAGGTCTTATATCACTGGAAAGTTTGAAGTATTACAATCAAGGCTACTTACTGAACAGAAATTGGATTTTTTTTTAGACCAATATACAATTTAGTTAGGAAGCCTGGTAAAATCACAGTGTATTTTTGGAGGTATTGGTATAGTACTTTACAATTTTTTGGTATTCCAAAATGCATATATATGTAGTCTACAAAAATTATTGTTTTTCCATCTCCACGTGTGAATTTGGATGAGGCTCACGACGAGGGTAAGCAAGTACGACTCACGAGTGCAAACAAGGACTTTATAGCATTGTAAGTAGTAGAAATCATTGTTTTCCAAAAATTTTTATTTACTGTTCTTTGTTTTAAGAAAAATAACTGACATTTAAGAATTTATTTGAAAATAATAATATATATACATATGTAATGTATGGTAACTAAAATATTATTGTATTTTACAAAATATTGGTACACTAGTGCTAAGAGTAAGAGATTTGTATTTTGTTTTGTTACAGACAAGTATAATTGTTTATTTATTTTTCAACTTGTTTACATTGAGGTAAATGGAAACAAATTATACAAAACTAAAGACTTGGCAATTCAAGAAAAGTGCGTCTACGTAATTTGAGAAAAATGGAGTGGCTCATAAAAGTCAATGAAATAAATTTATCACTGATAAACTGATCTCTACACATGGAAAGGAAATTCATTACATACAAGTGTATAGATCAAGGACAATTTGTATAAAAATGTTTCAGTAAAAAAACAATATTAAAAATAAGAGAAAAGTTTTAGAAAATATCATTGTACATTCAAAAAAAAAGTAATCACTGAATAATTTGTTTCTAAACTGATAAGCAAGAAGGTTAAACCACAAATACTAACTCAACCAAAATGGGCCACATTTATATCACTGGAAACTACGCATTTATTGGTTACTATGTAAGCATAGTAGTATAGGAAACAGGATGTTCATAAGCACTTACACTAACACTAAATCCCAACCACTCAGGAGGTTAACTAACATCCAAACAAGTTAACAAGTTTATTGGATTAGATACAACTTTGTACAGAGCCATACCATAAATATTTTCTCTTACTTTTATAAAGAACCTTAAACAATTCTTTTTTGCAATCACTGTACTATAAAGAAGCCAATAAATACTACCCCACTGTGTTCTCAGATCCGGAATTCAAATAGACTCTGTAGAAAATGTCCACTTATTGACTTACTGGATCAGCCCAGACTTTCTACAAAGTCATAACATAAACATTTTATAATACTTTAGACAACTGTCGTTGAAACCATTATACTGTCAACAAGTTGATACATCCTACCCCACTGTGTTTTCAAAGCAGGGAAAGTTCTGGGAATTGCACCGCATGAGCTTATTTGATATTGACAGTGTCAAACTAAGTAAGGAGTGGCAATTCACTGCTTTATATCTAGCAGGTTTCTACTTCAGCCACCAACAGTAAAATAAACATAAGAAATAGGTGTGAAAAGATTAGAAAAAACTCTCAGGAATTTTACTTTGGAACTTAGTAATCCATACTGAAAAAAAGACAGACAGTACAATTCATTTTGTTTCATCTAGTTTCTAAGTCATATCATAACAATAAAATTACTACAGAAAATAAGTGTGAAAGGTGAAAAGTATAAACTCTGACCATAAGTTCTTTGAAACTCTGTAATCAATACTAACGATACTATAAATTTTATTTTCCACTTTGCAACCTTTATTTTCGTTATACTTTGATTACTTTTCTTAGAACCTGGAGAATCAAGTGTAATGTTACAGTAGAGAAAATGACAGATAAAATATAAAGCTTTACTGAAAAGAATGTTTGATATTTAATATGAGGTTTTATTTTTCATTTGTTTTCTTTATTTATTATTATAAAAGTAACTAAAATGTAAAAAAAATAGAAACTTATTAGGTGAGATAAGGAATATTCATGGGGTATACTAGCGAGCAGCTTGTGCATTACACTATTCGATAGGGTAATGTGAGCTGGATGTGCACTGTGTAATTTTCAACTTGTGTTGGAGTATTTCAAGTCAGACAGAGTTCAATGCACAATAAAACAAGAAAAATTTAAAAATGTACATAGATGTATACTGAGAATTAAGCTATTTAGAATAAACATTTGCAGTTTTTTATTACAATTTGCAATCATTCTAGAACATAAGAAAGGGTAATTTAGATTTATTTCCTAATTTTTATGATGGTTATGAGGTTGGTCAAATCAACTAACACCACACAGAGTTAGGGTAGAGAAAATAGCAGATAAAATATAAAACTTTACTGAAAGAAAACATTTGAAATATATTTAGAATGTTTCAGAAATTATGCAAAGGAAATTTGAGATTTTTGAGATGAAGTTTTGTTTGTTTGCTTGTAATTAATCACAAAGCTACACAAGGAGCTATTTGTGCTCTGCCCACCATAGGTATTTAAACCTAGTTTCTAACATTGTTAGTCTACAGACATACCACTGTGCCACTGGGGGATATTGAGATGAAGAGAAGTATTTTCAATATTAACATGAAAATTACTTTGCACTCAGACTAGCAAAAAAAATACTTGATATAATCACGGACAAATCTTTTTTTAGTTTATTAAAAATACTTCTCTAAAAATATGATTATTTGTATATAAAACACTTGTAATGTTTACTGAAAATCTGCCAAATTTTGTGAAGATACACATACTATACTAAAAGTTAGTAGTATCAAAACTATAACAACTTTAAACAAGTACAATGTGGTCACAAGGTTGGTCAATTTGACTGAGCCCATGTGGAAAGAGTTAATCCAAAGCTGTTACAGTATGAAGGTCTGTTCTAACCACTGGTTATATCTCCCATCAAAATGGGCTTAAAACACACAAAAAGAGCTAATCAGTTTTCTCACCTGTTTTGCTTTGCAACTGCTGTATAATAAGGGATATCCCAAGGCATTATTTGCTAAAAAGTTAAAAAGAAAATTGTTACTTGAGAAAAATTAAATCATACTATAAGTATATGTACAACAAATGCTTTTTTCGCTCTTCAAATTCTAGTCTGATTTTCTCAAAGATTCTCAGAGATTTCTAGTGACACTAAAGGAAAAGAACACTGTTGTTTAGATCATGAAATTACCCAATATTATTTTATTCAGTACTTTACCAAGCAAGCTACAATATTGACTTTAAAATTCATCATCAGTGATTAAGCTTTTAATTGTGATTTAATTTTCTTTTATAAAATAAAAAATCTAAAATGCTCACCGACTCGTATCTATTTTTACTTCTCTTCAACTGTAGCATGTCATTATAGTCATTTTGGGCTCTAAGAAATATACAAAAATAATTTCATATCTAATACAAATACCATGAAAATCAGAAAGGAACAATCACTCAAATCATCACGTTTAATTACATGAATTAATAGTACATTTTAGATAAGTAAACTTACACTAATTCTTTTACTTCAAATCATTATAATACAATCCAATAACACAAAAATATACACCGAATTAGTCAAATCACCCAAATGCTAAATATAAGCATGCATCATCAATATTAATACCTGGGAGTGATCCCATACTGATTTTACACACAATCAGCATAACAAGCATTAAGGTAAATATTAACATATGTGATATAGAGTTGAACTACAAATGCATATACTGTTCCCACATTCTCATTGTACTTCACTGCACTGTTCACTACAAACAATGAATGACTGTATAACAATTATATCATTAGCTGTATCAGTTTAGTTTAAACACGGTAAGTATCAGCATAATACCTATGTGATTAACTGAAACTTATTATCAAGGTGAAGGTTTGGAACATACAAAGGCATTAATATTTACAAATCTTCACAGCCTATATCATTTCTGTAGCGTGCACAAACAATTAGTATGGACAAACTTTGTATCTCAAACATTAGACAATACATAATTATTTTGAGTCCATCACAATATGTGCATAGATCCATTCCACACATCTTGTGAAAGTAATATTTATCAATTTTTAAAAATCATTACTCTAAATCAAGGTGTTTGCATGTGAAATCTAACAGACATTACAAATATAACATCTTGTTCATCCTCTCACAACATTATCAATATTCTGATATGGTTGGACAAATTAATTTCAGCCTAATTCTGCACATAAAACAATGTTCCAAATTACTCAAAATTAGCTGCGTTTCTAAGATAAAAATAAAATTACTTTAAAATCAACCATTTTATGTAATCTCTTAGCTTAAATTCAAATATATTTTATGCTTGTTAAGCATCAAAAATATTTGTCTGAAGTTAACTTATTATTGTAGTATTCTCAAGTGCATTGATTTCTCTTATAAGTGACTGGGTAGGTTCTGTAGAATAACAGGTTTAACAAGAAGTGTTTTGTGACAAATAAATGTGAATTCTCTAACTTTTGGCTGTATTTAGCCAAGAAAGAGACTGTAAATAAAGAAAAACAAGCTTTCATTTCATCTTTCAAACATAAAATCAAACAAATGTATTTATGGTGCTTTACTGGAGGTTTGGATTCTCAGAAATATTTGCTGGAAGATGATGAAAAATCTGTTCCAAACTGAGAAAGCATAGCATTATATACACAGAAAAGTAATTATATTTTTTTCCAAGACACATATGCTATCCATGTCATTGTTGATCATTCCCATTAAGGAATAAAGGTGGTTGTATTCTCAAGTTATTACTTGACCTGCCAGTGGAAAAGATTGCTGTTTACTTCTATACAGTGTTCAACTTCACAGAAATCTTTCCCACAAGAAGACACACAGTATTCACTAGGTGAATGACCCTATTCAATAGGTAATTAAGGCAAAAAAACTTAGTTACTTCCTTCATCAACATCTCATTGTTAAAACTACATACACTTTAAGATACACTAGACTTGAATAAATTGGGGTTAAAAGGAATATAGTATGCAGAATTATTAGCTCAATCTTCTATTGCTGTTATAAATCATAAACAAAATAAGCCATGATATGAAAGATAAAGTAAACGTCCAACAGACAGACAAGTTTCTGTTTAACAGTAAGAATACCAAAAAGTATAGCTTCAGATATAAATTTAGTTTTTAATATGATACCATACTATACGGCTCCACAATTATTCAAAATATTCAGTTACTCAAAGACAACCAATGAGCAAAGATAAGTTGCTTGTTTTTAGGATACATTTTTTTAAACCTCACCTGTATACGTTAACATTTTCCTTGCCTGTAAGTGTATTTCATATACATACCTCCACACACCTCCTAGTGTTGGCTTTCTCCATGATACTCCATGTAATGGTACAGTCTGGATTGAGCAATTGACTAATTTTATTACCACAAGGATACCTCTAGTGGTCTTGTGAAATATGCAATCTCAACAATGGGCACTGGTAAAGCCAGGGCAGATGGTTTGAGTGCTTTCCATTACCCTTGGCCTGATTCGGATTTTGGAGACATATACATAACCTGGAAGGCAACACCAGCCATTTCACAGAATACTACAAAAAGGAAAAGGGTGATTAAAATGTACTTAGCCTTCTCAAAGACAGTATGTAGTTTTCTTGATGAACAAGGATTGGAAGAAGTAAAAATCCCACAGGAGACAAAACAGCAGGATGAAGATAATGGTGGATGAACGTGTGCAAATTTATCCACATGATAGCCTGAAGGATCTCAACCAAAGATCAGTGAAAATGAGATGAAAGAGAATGAGATAGTTGACAGGCCTGATGCAACAAAATGTGGAAGAATAATCAATTCCTGAGCAACTGAAGCCTTAGAAAAAAAGGCCACATCTGGATAGAGGAGTAAGTAAGTATGGGGACAGAGAGCAGGAAGCATTAACAATAATAGTAACCACAAACAAGAAGGTAAAGAAAACATGGCTTCTGAAAAAGAAGGTATAATGAACGTGAAGCCAACAGCCTGAACAGAGTATGTGTAAGAACACGTCAAACCATGTCAAAGTCCCACAGTCAGGCATGGAAGTAGGAAGAGGGAGGGGGGTCAGCAAAGAATAAAGGATTGGAAAAAAGTGGAAATGACAGGAGAGGAGAAACCTAACAGTAATGGGAGAGGTAAAATTTTAGTTGATAAAGTCACTCAATAGTGGAAACTGACAAACCATGGTTGAACCATATGAGAGGCCCAAAAGTGGGCCACAGTAGGATGGATGGAGAAAGGGAAAAGTTGATGGACCAACTTCAAAAAACCTGCCACTTCTGTTGATAGATGGACAACAGGAACTGGATAAGAAAAATGTTACACAATTGGAGAGTCCAGATCTGTGAGCAATGGACTGGATAACTCCCTCATATGATGATAAAAGAACAACATCCTTGGGTGAGACCAATACTAGCTGAGAGCATCAACTACCAGGGCTAAAGGACGAGAAACTGGGAACCCAAAGAGAGGAAGTTTGGGGTTGAGAGTGGCAAAGGCAATGATGAGAGCCTTACCCAACTGAGGCAAAAACCCAATGAAAAAACCTGCAGGTAGAGAGACCACTTCATTGTTAGAACCCTGACCAGCTAAGAGAGGTGATATGCCACAAAGTTCAGCCTTTGGCACATGATAAGCCATGAGATGAACCAAAAGGAAATAAGCCCAAAATAGCAGGTTCAATGTGGAAAATTAGAGAGTCCTGGAACAGGTATCCATCTAACAGTCAATATAAGAAATGACAGTGGAATTGTTGGAATGGATCATAACCAACAAATCCATAACAAGAGGGAGGAAACTGGAAAATACTCAAAGGACAGCGAGAAGTTCAAGGATTTTGACATACAGTGAATGCTCCTCATGAGTCCACATGCCCAAAATCCTGTAGTCATTCAGAGATGCCACCCTAGCCTGAGAGAGAAGGATCTGTGAAGAGATGGAGATCTGGTTCGGGACAACAAGGGGAAGTCCCCTTTGGTGTGGGCATGATTGATCCTTCAACACAAATTCTCAAAAAAAAGAAGAAAGGAGTGGCACAATCAAGGACAACAGATTCCAAGAAAAGTTCTACTGGAAGAGGCACATGTGCATGCAGCCTAAATGAATGAGTGGTTCAAGAAAAACCAGAGTTCCAAAAAGGAAAAATACCATGTGTGTAGAGTGTAAAAGAGATGCACACACCTCGATGACAGCACAGTAACAATTTTCTTTCCACTGATTAATATTATACACTGAGAACCCATTAAAGAATTTCCTGTTATTACTGAGGCAAACTACCTTGCCATAAGTAAAATGACAGTAAAAATCTTCAAGCTCTATATTTTGACATTGCAATATCAAAGCCCAAGAACAAATAAATTTACAACACTTTAAAAAACAATGCCCTTCCATTATGACAGTAAATATATAAATCTCAAAAAATACAAGTTTACAGAGTAAACTTTCAATATGACCATAATCTATAAAAGCTGAAAGACAAATCAAGCTTATAGACAACATTTTAGCTTTAACTTGCAATACACAAGTTTCAATAGACATAACTTAAGTTCATGAAACAACTCACCAATATACTGTACATGCACAAACTATAAGACAAATCCATTCTATGAAACATCCTTTCAATGACTTTACAATAGCATACCTAACTCCTTCAATATCAATAATAATAAAATTTAAAATAAATCACCACATAAAACTTGTTTCCCCACAAACTTTTATACTTTCCCAGGACTTTTGCCTTCTTGCAATCAGTCATCATTTTGACAAATGGAAGTTGTGAAATTGATACAATTGCTCATATATAATCAAACAGTAGTGTATCACTGAATAAAACCAAAAAGGACCACAAATTATGATAACAATACTTTATTTCAACAAAAAAGTAAATAAATAAAAAACAAAAACTCAAGCACGACATTGAATCCATAGTAAACAGTAATTAAGGTCATGGGCTTCCTAAACTAATAAAAAAATGTAGTCACTATGGCCAACTTGTAGTACTTTCAGGTATGCAATACATAAACTATAAAATAAATAAGTTTAAAGAACAATCTTCCAAAATAACTTTACATTTTAAAATCTGCTAAAACCATAGTTGATAGCATAAAACCCTTCAATTTACCCACAAAAACCTTTAAGACCACTATTGTACTTATGTAAGTGTAATAACAAGGGAAATAGATGTTTTCATGCCATTTAATTCATTAGTAAGTCAAATATTAATAATCACCTTTCTCTTAAGCCATCTGAAAGAATATCCAGGAATTCCTTCACAGTCTGAGGATCCCCAGCAAGACTTCCTCTTACTGCCCGGTGAGCATAGGTTGGAAAACCACACAAGTTTGCAAGCTCATTTCTAGAGATTAGTAGTTCATCAAGGAGTTTTGCTTGATGACTGTCTGGAAAGAGGTATATTTTATAAGCTGCTTCTCGCACCTGTAAAAGTGCAAAAATAACTAATAATTAATTCATTAGACACAAGAGCTGACACAAGTAGCTTATAGATCTCAAATCAACAGCATTCAATGTTTACACTGTTAATATTAACCATCAAATTAAAAAAAACTTACTTCAGAAGCAAAATTAAACTTAGAGATAAATCTATGCTGTTTCCTACACCTAAAAACATATAAATCTCATTTGCATAAAAGAATTTATTATCAACCTATGTAACAGGGTTGACAACAAATAACACAGCTTTGTCAAAACATTGGGAGCAAATATGTTTCATATATCATTAGGTGAAAAAACATGATCCAGGATGTGAAAATTAAAAAGAAAATTACTTGTCCAGGAGGATAAGCACACACATTTTTTACTTGTCCTCAGATGGAAAACACTTGAACAAAAAGCGATTAAAATTGTATTACTGCAGATGTAACCATCATTTCTCTTTATAAATGTTGGATCTACTATATATGTGTATTATCTCTGAAAGTCAATAAAATACATGACAAAAAATATTAACTGTTGTTCTGCTCTTTAATTTTGGCAAATACAAAATAAATGCAGACAAGAGCAATTTGACATGCAGTGTTAAGATAAAAACAACAAAAGCTTTTCTGACTAGTGTAGCTGACTAGAGTAACCTAGTATGGTAAGTATTTCAATTTTTAAATTATTGTAACCAGGTAAGTTGAAATGTAAATCCAATATATTGACTAGGTATCTATTCTTAAAATGCTGATAAACAGTCTGATTGAACAGTATTCTCCATATGTCATAGTGACCATTAAACATAGTTTTCAATTGACACAATCTGACTAGGTATCTTAAAATGCTGATAGACAGTCTGATTGACCAGTATTCTCCTTATGTCATAGTGACCATTAAACATAGTTTTCAATTGACACAATCTGAAATCTTCTAATTTAGTAAGTGAATTCTCAGTCTAAGTTAACAAGTCACTACTCATGAAGTGACTTTGATACCGCATGCCCATCCACATGCCGATGGCCAGGACCAGAATCTAGTCAATGCTCCACTTCAGGTATAGCATTGAATTATTTTAAAGGAGTATCATTCACACTAATTTTTATGATAACATTCAATGTGTCTTGTTGTAGTTTGGTACATTTAGAGACTTTCTCAATATTCATGGTTGAAAATCCCCTCTTAACACCAGCTGTGTAGATGACTCTTGCATGAGAATTTCCAAATATCATGTTTCTTCAAACTGACACAGAAATCGTTTCAGATGTCCAAATTTATAAATCTCTTTAACTATGTAATTTAAAACATTATCACACAGCAGACTTCTTGGTATAAAATGACTGGTGAAATGGAAACAATTTAAATAATATTAGAAATTGGACAAGAAGCTGTATTACCATTTTCAGATGAAGAAACTTTCAAACACAAAAAAACTATTTTTAATCATCAATTTCATCACAACATATTCATAAAATGCAACATGTGTTTCACATATCTACTTTGACTGAAAAGCATAAACCACACCACTTTAAAATACAATAATTAAAAGTCAAGATCATTTAAATATGAAGAAGTTTGAGATGTATTACTTTACTTAAAGATCAGTCTTAAAAAATGAAATAAAATAGCATACAATCCACACAGTATCATAAAACTAACCTTTGCAGCATTGTTTCAACATTCTCAATATGTAATTTTTAGTACACTTTATTAGCTTAATCATAATACGTTATAAAACTACAAACATCTAGTATTTTCATAACAAGTGATCTATTTTCTTTCTCCAATAACAAAAACTTTCTACCATCAGCATAATTTGCTCTCTAACTACAAGAGATTGTCACAAACATGTGGAAACACAAAACAAGTATAACTTATGCCACATATTTCTGAGATAAAACAAAACACACTTCCCAAGAGAATGCATTATAGACATCATAGTCATAATTGCTTAGCCTTCTACTGATAACAGAACAATTAAAGGCATTTAATTTATGTAATTCTAAAAATATTATTTAGATTTCATTTTCAAATGCAAAATATGAATTTACATTACATCAAATTTTAATTAACATTCTACTCAACTTACATACAGTATCAAAAGTAGCTAAAACTATTCTATCAAATTTATGCATCAACAAAAGGAGTAACTAATATCCTACAAAACTTGAAAATCAACTGTAACTATAAAACTACCTTCTAACAAACTTGCAAATCAAACACATTGAAATACGAAATAATGTGCTAATCTACCAGTTTCCAGATTCAAACAATCACAACTAAGGCAAACTTACCAAGTCATTCTCAGAATCAGCAAACAGTCCTGTGACTAGAATACTTTCCCCTTCTATTGAAAAGCTGTGAAGAAAACTTCATGTATAAAATAATTACTGTTTTCACATTTACTATAGAACTGCATCATCAGTTAAACAATAACAATAATCCAATAGTAAAAATCTTGTACAATCATCACACTTGAGATCACTAGCAATACTGATCTGGTCTGTTTATAGGGAGTAAAAGGTAACTTGAGAATGTTTTTTACTTTAATTAAGGCCCGTTGTTATTGTTAACATACTCTATTTTGAGTTTAAAGGTAGCACATATGTGCATCAAAATTAAAAATGAATTCAATCTTTGATACATTTACTAATTTGTTTTGAAATAATAAAAAACATGTTCATAAAAAATACTTCATATTTTTGTTCTATTAATGTTTTTCTCCAACCAATACTACCCAAAAAAAGTGAACTGGATGATTAGTGGAATTTGTTAAACCATAAATCGTTAGACTCATTCATTAATTACATTCAATTAATTGATTATTCTCATAGGAGATAGTTAAACAAAATTTATAATGCTAAAAATTGAATTTCAATACCCATGGTGGGCAGAACACAGATAGCCCATTGTATAGCTTTGTGCTTAACAACAAATAAACTTAATGCCAACATTTCAAACATTTGGATAGTTGGAATACTTGAAAACCTTCACTTCAATTAGTTGATTATTTTCAAGAGCCATTACACTAATCAATTAAGCTGACAACTTGAATTAATCAAAAATAATAATAAGAACTCATAATGGCAATATTTTTATTACTGGATAGTTGGAATACTTGAAAACAACAATAATCAGAAACACTAACTTTGATTAGTTGATTTTCATGACATTAATCAATTTGATAATAAATTTGATTGACTATTTAATTAATTTACAGAACACTAATCAATGTAACTGACAATCATCAATGATACTTAAAATGTATATTCTACAATAGCAATAAAGTGACCCTTTTCTTGAATTACAAATTATTATTTTATTAAAATCTGATGGAATTTTAAAACATTTAGTAACAAGTATGAAAAAAAAAACATTCATAGTGCATACAAGGAATGCTCTCAAATAAAATGTGTGTTGACAGCAATCCTATAAATTTATTTTAGTTAACAGAAAATATATAAATAATATATTCATGTAGAGTAGCAAAATAAAAATATCTATTGAGCTCAAATTACCATACTTCTACAAATAAGTGTAAATAATACTCTGAAGAAAAAATTAAGATACACTATATTAAACCATCAAAATATCTTAAAATTATTTGTGTTCACTTGTTGTTTTACAGCTTTAATGTAAACAATACTTTTGGTAAACATCTATTTCATTAAACAAAATTTATTAATCTTGGAAATCTATCATTTTATTACAAATATGCTTACCACTGTCTTATGTTTTCAGGTAACTGAGATTTCAGTACAGATTTAGGCTGATTGGTTCCATTCACAAAGTGAGAGCCAATATGAAGGATGTATTCGTTCAGTGCTACAGCTCTCTCTCTCTATTAATTTAAATAAATAGTTTAGGCAATTGAACAGCTTAACACACTATAAAAACCTAAACGTTTATAAAGGAAACTGCACTTTATCCACATCATTTGTGCTACAAAGTACTTCCACCCATTATAAATATTGTACTTCTAATGTAATTATTAAAGTAAGATGGAAGGATTATAAAATGACTAATCTTGCATCTCATCTTAACCTTCTGTATAAAGTAATTTATAGGAATCTCTACATTTATATTACTTGTCAAACCATCTTAATTTGCAATAAAATAGGAATTTGGTTATCTAACAAATTTTATCTTCATGTGCAAACTGATTGGAGATCATGCAGTAATTATTTCATACAGAATATATGTAAATTATTTGTCCTTGTCATATGTGCACTTAATTATCATATTCATTGTATAAAAAGACTTATGTTTATTTGAATATGCTACTGACATAGCAAAAACTATTCCAATGTAATATTTGGTTTTGGACCAGACTACTTACACAGTGGCTAGAAAAAATTATGTAGAAACTAAGTTATAAGCAAAATGTTTTTACACTGGAGGATTTTTATGAATATAAAGAAAAAGTATGTTTATGCCAAAATTAACTATCACTTCGTGATACCTCATTGTCCATGTTATGAATTTATATAATTTCTTTTACTATGAGGTCATAAAAGAAAATAAAAGTTCATATAAAACTAACATTCAATTAAGCAAAAACCTTGGTAATGTAATGGGAGATTGAAGACATTATTAGTATTTTCATTTAAACAAAATACTGTGAATGCCTGTCTTTATAAATATGAAAACCTCTGAATTTTACACGATTGCCAGGAAAATGTAAATTCTAATGATACTCATTTTACATAAATCAAATATATGAACAAAAAACAATCTTTGTAAAATACAATACCATTAGATCATCTACATGAATTCCACTTTGCTCAAAATCAAATAAAAACAGTTCAGCTACATGTTCATCAACTGGATTAGTCAGGACAATATCACCTTCCTGGGTCACTTTCTTCAAAGCATTATATAATTCACGATTTGTATTCAACCTGTAATTACAGAAAACTGCTGAAGCATTTCAAGACTTAATAAGTTTTATTCATTGGAAGATTCCACAATGTACTGCTTTTTCTATACATAATTCAAACCTAAAACTTTAATACGTATATCACGAACCACAACAGTGGTTCATAACAGAGATTGCAAGGAATTGCACAAAACCCTAATAGAACATTTGGGCAAAAAGCACCTGAAACAGTAAAGATTCAGTTCAAACAACACTTTAAAACCTTTATTATTGGCTGCTAAGGCTGTACACATATAAAATGCACAAAAAACACAAATGTTAGACTTACAAGGAAAATAAAATTTGATCAAAACAGCCAATTTGTAATTCTTTTTATCATTATTCTCTTGCCAGTCTACAATCAAAATGACTTGGTAGATTGGACCCAAATATTTTGTAAAATACTAAATAAGGTACTGCAAAGGTTGTAGGGGTATAGAAAAGTCTATTTGTTTCTTCTATATTTTACATAATCTAAAAAACATCATAATTCTAGTATAAATAATGTTATCATTACCCCTTGAAGTTAGCTTTCTTACAATTATCTGGTGTTCCTTTAAAAAGCTAAGTACCAGGTGAATCAGAAATTGGTCTTGTGTCATTTCTGGGACAAGGTGCATCAGCCCTCCAGGACAGGCATTGGCTGTCTGGTGTCACTGCTCGTGACCCTTTGATCATGTATGTCAGACTGAAGCTGCCCTTCCATCTCACTACAACAACAAGAAAGCAAACGCTCTTCCTGTCTTCTTCTCGGCCTTTCCCCACATCAACGCATAATTAAAATTCCATGGAAGCCACAGCTTTAACTACCACAATATCTAAAAATTATCAACAAGCCATGAAAGGGGTGAAGAGAAATAACTTCAATTTCTGTCCACCCCTGGGTTATTAAACCTAAATACCTACCACAACTGGATTGGATTGAATCAGGAATTACCAGTCAATAATAGAGAACATTTAGATGACTGTAACATCTAGATACTCAATGCTTATACACTATACTTTAGAGAGCCAGCCCCTATATTATGTATGAAGTGAAGGAGTAAAAAATAATAATCAATATACCTAATATTGCATTTTATTACACAAATTCATAGTATAATTACTTTAAAAGACACAAAGATTTATTTAAAGCAATGTTTTAGATGTGTATGTTTTATCTGAATAGGCTGCTTTACTACTGGTAAAATTTTATACCCACTTAGTGGGGAGTTGGATCTTAGTCTAGGCATATATTTGCCCATTGTTATGCATCATATACAGAGAATTTAGTTACTCAGAAACTATATATGCTCACTATATTCTCAAATAAATCTACATGACAATCTCCAGCTGCAGCTTAACATTTTACATCTCAAACTATTGCAATCAAATAGTCAACAGGTACAGTAAATCATCATGAACCATATCAGCTAGCTACTAGCTATATTTATTATCATTACAATGTATAAAGTAAGTTACCATATCAAGTAATCCTTTACCTATAGTTGAGCACAAAAAAGCCAGCAAACAAAATAAAAAAAATGGAAATTTAAAAACCAGCAAATAGGGATCATGAAAATAGTAAGGAAAAACAGTTGGAGATACTGTAGACATTATTTACTCAAACTACAAATCCCTATTTTGACTCCACCATATGTAACTCTAAGTAACAGCCAAAATAGGGGTTTATAGCTTGAGTTAATAATATCAACAGTATCTCCAGCTGTTTTTCCTTACTATTTTTCTATTATTTGAAATCATAATCTAAAATAATTACAGCAAAGGAATTATTTAGGATTTATCTTTCATTACAAACTAGTTATAGTTATGACTTCATTACTGCTAATGACTATTTTAGTACTTATCAAGTTACACCCAAAACAATCATCTTTATAGGAGTCATATTTTGGCTGTAATCTCATAAAACATGAACATACATTTGAATACTGTGATTCAAAATTCTGCAAAAATAAGAGCCAGTCATTTTCATATACAAGTTCCAGTTATTAGCTTTTTATGTATAATTCTCTAAGTAACTATCATAACTGCCAGATAATGTTATTTGATATTAAGATTTTGTACTTTTATTACTAGTTTAAAAAAACTTACTGGGATATTATTTGTATGCAATGCATCTTCTGTGTTATTTAAAAAATTGTTGAAGTTAAATACAAGAAAGTTGGGTGCAAACAAAAACTTGATGATTAAAGTAACATTAATTGAACTTGTAACCATATCTTGTAGAAATAAAGAATGTAGTTTTTACAACAAAATAGACTAAGTTTATTTGTCTTCATTTACATTTTATAACACAATTTGTAGTACTAGCATTCTATAAGAATGGTGATCCAGTTCCTGTGCTGCCATGGAAACTACTTCCTCTATCATCAGTTATGTAAAATGTGATAGCCATTATTCTTTGTTAATACCTAACACTGCATTTTTCACTGTAAGAAGTTTGTGAAAGAACTGAGATGTCAATTTTAAACTACACATTTTAACAAATTTTCTACCGACCCTTGATTGTACATGGATGTCTTATTTAAAGACCAAGTTTAAGCTCATAAAACTTGATGGGATTTGCATCAGGTGCACTTGATAGGTATGTGGTCAGATAGGGTTGCTGTGCGATTTCAGCTTCTTCAGACATGGGTTTCATGGAATGACTGGACATTTGTGAGCACTCATTAACTTAACACTGCCATAAGGTATGCTCAGCTTCAATCCAATGACATTTTGGACTATTTATTTTGAAAATGAGGTCATTACTCTAAATTAGCTTGGAATGTAGTTTTAGAGCCTGTTACTGCTATCCAAGTTCTTCTGCTTCTATGAACAACATTGGAGTTTGTCATCTTCAAAATGTTTTGTCCTCTGATTTATCATCATTTAACAAAAACATCCTTCGATGGAAAGAGCTGTAACAAAACACCAGCCATAAGTCTAATCATGTGGAATTGTTTTGTCAATGGTTGAGAATTTGCAGTGAATCACATATATAGGTGCTTTTCAAAATATTTCACCTGTGGTGACACAACTTGCATCTGCTATAACATTTTACTGCATTGTAAATATGCTTAAATAAGCATATTTCTCTTGAAATCTCAGGTTTGAGCCTGATACAGCAATCTTCTAAGTAAAGTTTGGGTTTAACTAGCTCCTTAATTTTGAAGGTGAAATATTCTCCTTCATTGCAAATATCTTGATATAAGCATATTTCTCTTGACATCTTAGGTCTGAACTTGAAATAGCAATCTTTTAAAAAAAACTTGGGTTTAGCTAGCTCATTAATTCTGAAGGTGTGAAGTTGCAATTTAAGGCTGTAAAACAAAATGGAACCTTGCTTTCAGTTTGGGCACATGAGCAGTACATGAATCCACACTTTCAGGAACTGAAAAAACTATACTTGATAGCTTTCTCTCAAAGTAGGAAGTATGTATATTTAGGTTGCTAGTAATGAAAGGCTAGTAGTAGTATTGATCTCAATCGATAATTCCCTTAGACAAGCAAGACTAATCTGTGATCTGTAGGACATGTAGTTAACATCTTTCTTTGTTTAGGAAAACTTTAAATTTGCTTAGAAAAATTAAGACATTTTTCTGGAGAAATACTGATTTACACTGTTAAACTTTGGATTTTTTGTGTATGTTTCAAAACTGAAGAAAGTGTTTGTTCTTTCTTACATTAGCTGACAACTCCTCTAGACTCTTAAGAGGTGTACAGTATTGTGGTGGGGAGGAGTATATCATAGGTTAGTGTCCATATGAAATCTGTTAGCCCAATAATCTGGGTCTTACTTTCTTAGTTCAATTTTTTTTTTCTTATAGATATCAGAGTTGTACAGATTTCTCATGCCAAGCATGAATGAATCCTAATTGAAATAACTATTGAAGGAGGGAGTTTGTCAACTAAAACTAACAAGTTCTATCATTCCAAAATTACCACTGTTCTGGTAATCGAGTTATATCATTTTTGTCAATGACCAAGTCTGTAAGTTTTGTAAGTGACAATAAACCCAGACTTTAATAAACCTCATCTCACCATATGATAAGCCTATTCCAGATATAATAAATTTTCCCACCTATATTACCAGTCACACTAAACTAATGCTTCTTGAGCGGGTGTGTGAATTATAAGCCAATTTTTGTTTACGTACATCAATCATAAATGACTATAAATATTAAGAATATATCTATAGTATGGGGATGAATTAAAAAAAGGACCTAAAATTCAGTGGTTTTGAATAGTTGACTATTCTTCTGAAGAACAATAGTCAACTATTGGAAAGCACTCTATTTAAATTGATTGCACCTTTTGTGTGTGCTTCTGTGTGTTAACTCTTTCATCAGAAGTTAATGTTTTCTACACTGAAAATATATTTCTGATAGATACTTACCTCTGTTCACAGTAACAACTATTCTCAATCTGACTGCCCTCTAGTGCACAAATTTTTGTTTGCCACTAGCCTTGAAACTCCTAATTCCACATGGTTCAGCTACATTTAAGCATGCAACAGTATTCCATCAATAGGAGTGTGACAAACCCTCATCCCTCAATGCAGTTGAACCCAATCTTCACTTCATGATTAGACACAAAAAACAACACCAGAAGTGGGGAGGATGGATGGGAAGTGAGACAGAAGATAAGTATCTATCAGAAATATATTTTCAGTGTAGGAAAACATTAACTTCCAATATGATTACTTACCTCTGAAGAGGTGACATCTGAACAAGGTATATACTCTTCACCCATGTGAAGCCAACACGTATGATGTCACAATCATAGGACAGAACAAGGTAACAATCCCAAATCTCTAAGACAGAGCAATGTGTGTAGAGTGGCTAGAGCATGTTGGAATGTAAGCAGGAGGTAAACTCCAGTCCAGACCAATGACACCGGGAGGAACTTGACCTGGCCACGACAAGAGGGTCCTCAATTATTTACTTCAGGTCTAGGAACCAGAAGGAAAGAGGAGTCTACATTCCAAAAACCTAAACCAAC